GTTTCATCAACCATTCTGTACTTTGAATGTTTTCTATTTTTCTTTTGTAAATTGAAGACATAACAGAAATAATATAATTTTTAAAATTTTTAATTTGTTTATTATAAAAAGGTACTATTACAAAGAGAGTTGACCGTACTTAATATGTGGTAGAGTATATTACAGTAATTTCGGAAGTATGTAAAGATAACAAAGCTTATAAATTTAATTATAAAGTAAACGTCTTTAACATTAAGAAACACTAGTATTATTCTTTTTAAAGATATGATTCAGCATAGATTATGAGAGAACTTTTTTTTTTATTTGAAGAATTTTTTTTTTGTAAGCTATAGTACGTGTTTATTTGAGATTTATTATATACTTTCAAAGTCAATATTTTTTTTATGCTTATATTATATTAAGAACTTTGATGCTTTGGTCTGTAAAAATTTTGAAAATTATAATTTATAAACATTATAAAAGTAAAGAATACAACTATTTTTTGAATTCAAACCAATAATATTAGAGGCTGGCTAAAGATTATGAAAAAAAAAAAATGAAGGGAAACGTGCTTTTTAGAAAATAACAAGAACATGATTCGAGTAGAATAACATTAAAAAATGGTGTTTTCTTTCTATTAAAATCTATAGTTTTACTATTGTTATCATTAGATTTTTTTATTTGGCGCAAATTACTTGAATTGATTAATACACTACCAAACTGGTACACATTCAAGAATTGCCTCGTGACAATAAAATATAATAAAAATTTATCGTAATTTTTAAATTTAAAATGCTTGAAACTTTATCTACCAAACCAATGTTATCGATCTTATACCTACATGTTGGTGTCTAAATTATTTTGCTCATGTTGTAAATTTAAATGGTTAAATTATTTTAGATAATTAATTTAGGACATTTAAAATATTCTAGAGTGTCAAAATATTTTAGGATGTCTGCCCGGCAAGTGCAGCATTTTTGTCTTGAATCAAATATTGTATGCAAACTAATTAATTGACCACTGATGCATTGGCATGATTTATTATATTATTTCTTATATATAGTACTTTCGATTAGTAATTATTAGTGTTAAGAACATATTTAAGGAAACCAGTTTTTTATCAATTACACTGACAGAATTTAAAAATTTCAACGTGTTAAATGGCATTTGAATTATGCCATTCAATATGTCAAGCTAATTAGTGTTATTTTCTGCTAACTGATTTTGTTTTATTCATGTTTAGATATGCCTAACATGAATACAATCTTGTTTAAAAAGTATATTTGCTCTGTTAGAATATTAGCTACAAGAGACTTTTGTCAAAGGTGATGATAAAAATGGAATTTCATCTTATCTTTTGAAATATCTTATTAGAGAGATATTGAAAAATAGTCTGAATTGTCTAAGAGTATTCTCAAGCAGCTTTCTTAATGTGATTAGCTAGTAATCGAGATGTTGTTAAATTATTGCAATTAATTTAAGAGATTTATTTATTGTGCAAAATGCAGATTCTAAACTTTTAGCCAATCAGAGAATTCTATAGTCTGCATCTCCAGATGTTATTCATCGAAATAGTAACTCGCTTATTTTGTTTATTCAGTTTCTGATTAATTAAAAATTTTCCTATCTATTAAACTGCTTAAAAATGCCCTAATTAGCTTGTAGTTAAGATTTTTTTAACAGTTCAAGAACACAATATGTAGTACATGAAAAAAAGGATCCCAGAATTATGTTTTATAGTTTTAGAAAGCATCTTTATAAGAAATAAAGTATTATTTTATATACATATATAATGAGTAAATATACAATATATATATATATATAACTTTCAAAACCTAGTTTATTATAATTAGGTTAAATTGATTAAGAATTCAACAATTTTTTAGTCCACTCCCTACTATCTGTGCACAATCCCATCAAAAAAGCCGAGTTTCCGAGAACTTCAAAATTAATTTCTTTACTAATTTGATCTCCAACATCTAAAGCTGCATTAAATAATGTAAGCGAGCTCCATAATGTTGTTAAGTCCCTAATTTGATTAAATGTATAAATAATAATACGTAATAATAATTAAATTAACGTTTCATTAATTTGAAAAACTTACTCTCTTGGGACTCTAATCACTCCAATATATTCTTCACTTTGAGAGTCATCACCACTCCAATATAAAATATCAACATGAATACCAGATCCAATGACTCCAAATGCTTCAGATAATGATCTGCTGATTAGTGAACGAAGTGCCAACGATGTTATAGTTGGTAATGGATCTGTTGGTGGGTCAAAATTACTATGTTGAAAGAAAAAAAATTGTAGGATTTTTTAGATCGAAAATATAATAAGAACAGATTGAATGTATTTACATTTTTATTTTTAGATAGTGCCATTCTGAAGTTGTAATTGTGTATCTTGTATATTTCGGAATCGTCGATGAAGAATTAGTAGATTGACCTTCTATTTGGTTCAAGGTGGTGGATCGTGATGTATTCGTTGAAGTCATAATTTGTGCTTCTCTAAAATTAAGATGAACCTTAACGTTAGGTTTGATAAAATTATAAAATTAACATGCCGTGCCATGTAGTACACGTACGTACGTATGTACGTACGACAGGTACGTAACTGATAAAGGAAAATCTAGTATTTACATATATATCTGCTATTTCCAAAAGACATTAATTATCTCAAATAATAAATTTACAGACATTGTTGTGATCAGCATTAGAAGTCTTGGAAAGATTTTAAATACGAATGGAGAAAAATGAATTAACGTTTGCTCTTAAATGCCTTAAAGTTGATACAAGTATTGATGGAAAAAACAAATATTTTATTGATGAGGTATTATTTGTTATATTTAAACTTTAATTGCATTCTATATATTACTGAATGATAATAAATCATGAAATTAGCTTAAACTATTACAAAAAGTTTCTTACCATTCAGACATTATTACATTCTGTGGAGTCGCAAAAGGTAACTAGCGTTCATGATTTTTGGGAATATTAAATAGTAATCTCGTAATGCAAAATACTGTATTTATCAAAATATACATAGATACAACAGATATTATAACATAGCTTTACAACATGCTAATGAAAGAACTTTACGAGAATACCTAAAGGCACATTTTACAAGATTACAATGGACAGATAAACTGAGAAAATAGCACTCAAACTTTTATTCTTACATGAAATGTTGTAAAGTATTATATATATACTTTAATCATTAATAACTTAGCATTCGAAGAATATCTTAATTCATCAAGGAAAGTCAAATTGGATTATCAAAGCTGATAAATGAGACATTTAAGATTTCAAATTCAAACCGTTCTTCTTGGAATGCCAGCATATACTGAACCTCAGTGTCAAGGATACAATATAGTATGATAAGAAATCAGATCTCTATAGCGTTGGAGTAATCCTTTGGGAAATTTCAATCCATACTGCTTTAAAAACAGTGCCAAAACCTTCTTTAGCAAGATATTTTATATTTGCAAAATTTGGTAGAGGGTATCCATCCAATATCTTTAAACTTTACTGCGTTAAGTTGTGTTTGTCGAATTAATTGATCAATGTCATAATTATCGTTTGTCCAATTATGAAGTTCTTTGCAAATATTAATGGAATGTTAAAAAATAATCAATATAATTATATCAAGACTAAAAAAAAGAATTATGATAATTTAAAATTAACCGGTGGTGAAATTCACCGGCCTAAGAAATTTTAGGGTTAGGGTATTAATATAAGGTCCCGATCTTAGTTCTCGTGAGGTTTTCAGGGTTCTGAACATTTTTACTTAGAGTACCCGATCCCGTTTACTTAGTACGTTTTTGAGATATAGCGCCCCGGTCAATTTCACCTCTGTTAAAATCGTCCTTGATTTATATATTCAAATCCAACATTTTAAACATGTTTACCCTTTTACAAAACTTGAAAGCAATATAAAAGTATATATCTAATTATAGATATTATACATTTTTATTTAAATATTATACAGTATCAAATTGCCAAGTGAAATTTTGCTATTTACTTTTTTTTTTTTTATATATAATCTGTTTAAACATAACAATGATGCTCTTAGCATTCTACTAATGATCCAAATATTAATAGTACTTGTTTTCTTCATTGAAAAAATAAAATTAAAAGAAATTGCAGTAGTGATTACTAAGCAAAAGCAAGACAATAATTGTTTAGAGCGTAGCAGAGATTTAAATCCGGTATGAGACAAAAACGTGACGGCACGTGCCCGCGTGACCCAAAAATTCTGGGAATTCGAGTCTAGAACGAACGGATAATAATAATTATAGCAATAAGAGTAATTCGGGTTATAAGGCTATTCTATCATGTAACAATAAATGGCAATTAATTATAAATATTCATTTAACCACTCGCCAAATCTAACACGCCTCTTTCGATCCAACTCGATCCATCAGTAAGTCTTGCTGCGGAACGATTGACCGACCGATTCCCGGTAATGCGCAATGCCGAAATTTTTTTGCCTCGGATATTAGCTTTTGCAGACAAAATATAAAACAGCATAGGCCAAGTTTATTGTAAAAACGCTGCATGGTTACACGATTTTTTATATTGATAAATCTTTCATATCAGCGTTTGCCATCAATTTATTACTGTACATAATAAAATCAATACTTTTTACAATTTAAAAGTTTCGAACTCAAAATTACCAATCGGTTTTACAAAAACTGTAATCAAAGAATACAAAGAGTAAGCAATCAAAATTCAATGCTGTATGAAACATGATAAATTTATACAAATGTATATCAACAAATATTTATATTAATTAATGTTCTTGGCGTGATAAATAGCGTGGATCCTTTTGATTATTATGTATTCATATATGCGCGTGATGTATAATACTCGTGATTTTAGTTTTTTATGTAAAAACAATCGCATTTTAACTACCGAAATATATAAAGAGCTTATTTTGACTCTGATTCTATATATTTCACAATTTCAGCCTTCTCTAAAAGATAACCGATAAATTTCAAAAAACCTGTCACCAAAATGTCGTATGACAACTTTAAAAGGCCTCTTAATTCGTTCATGATATATAGGATAGTTATTCACAATTACCTCAAAGCCAATAATGTCAGGTGTTCTAACTGCATAATTTCCAAGTTGGCAAGCCAACTGTGGAGGAATGAATCTGAAGAGATTAAAAATGAGTATAAACAATTGGCTGAAACAATGAAGTGCTATGAGCAAAAATTTGAGACAGAAGCCATTAATGATGCCGAAAACCCTATCTCGCTTGGGACCACAAATGATTATCCTTCGATCAACAACAACACCGAACCTAACATGTATGTCCAACTCCCGACCCACACATTAAATATTAATTCGTCATCCATCACCAATGATACAGAGAATACAACACAAACATTAAACTTCCAAAATAATCAATTTTTTTTTTCGTTTATTCCTTAAAATTTTTTTTATAAGAGCATATATAAATAGCTTTTTCAGTAAAATTTCAACACAGGATATCTTTCAAATGCTTTTAGTTTTCATCAAATATTGTATATAGCATTGCTTTGAAATTCGGTCGTTATTTCACGACAATATAGTATATTCCTGTCTAGACTTTATTTGTTGGCCTGGTAGTCAAATCTAGAAATAGGAAAGTTTTTATATGGATTTATTTAACTTTATAAATTTTATCAACTTGAAATTAAAAATATTGAACTAATTATTAATAAAAATTTAATAAAAATCTAACAACTACAAAAAGATACGTAATCGTATTCGGCATTGTGTTTAACCTGCGTATGTGTTTTTAATTTTACAAATGTCTATTCGTTTTTTTACATAAATTTACAAAAAAATTAAATAAATAAGGGCGAAGACTCGTCTTGATGGCATCTAACCTTAAATTTATTCACACTAGCTTAATACATTGGTGGCTTTCTACAAAAAAAAAAATATAAAAAATAAAAAAAAAATAAAAAAAAACTTGGTATGGCGCGTAAACAAAAAGATCTGGAAACAACTATAGGAAGAAATGGTGTCCTAAATTATATTACGTTTATGAAATCTTCATATCCTAGTGAATACGCATTTCCTGTTAAAGAGAACTACTTTAAAGAATATCTTAATTACAAAGTTAAAAAGGGCAATTTAAAGGCTTTTTCCTTGCAACTATACATCACAAATATTAAAGCTCATAATAAAGCTCTCGGATTTAGTTGGAATTACTCTACATTTGATGCTATTACAAAAGAAGCATTGAATTCACTAGAGCGAATAGACAACTCAGTTTCTCCTAATCTGGCCATACCCCAACTTCAGAGTTCGGATTTTCTTAATGCTCAATCCAGGCAATTTTATCCAAGCTTTCCTGCTATTAATTTTCCTCTGGATAATAATCGATTTATTGTACAAGAAAGTGATGCACGTCCATTTCTCCCATCTGGATTTAATGCTGAGAATTTCGTCTCTCTTCCCAGTGGTATTAATTCCTGCATTCAATCAATGCATTTACAACCTAATCAATCTGATACACAACAAATTATATCAAATAACAACTTTCTTTGTAACTTGAGTTCCCTTGATATCAATCCTTCTCACCCACTTGACACTAGTGCTATCCGACAAAGTACTTTCTTCAATCAATTGTCTAATTCTCATAGTATTCCAGAATTCGAAAAGCAAATTCTTGACACACTGAAGCAACAACAGAGAAAATTTCTATTGCAACAAACCAAATTTATGATGCACAAAAAAAAATTATTTATTTATTCAATTTAATACATCTCTATAAACAGCAATAGAAAGCCATCACATTCACCATTCATTTAACTATTCAACAAATATTTGTTTAGTTTCATCAGCAATAGAAAGCCGCCACATTCATTCATTCATATAACTATTCAACAAATATTTGCGTTGATTTCTTCGTTTTATTTGACAAATTATAATGCCGTATTATCATCATGCTGGTTCAATGATATTATAGCACTATTATATTCTCTCTCTCTCTTTGTATCCATCAACAAATCCAATTTCTTGTTGCTTTCATATTAAATATTGTAATTTTCTTCTTCTGACCTGCGTAAATCTTTTAGAGTCAAATGTAGAAGAAAATTATTTCTTTTAAAGGCAAATTAGAAAAGAAAACTATTAAAGAAAACTATTAAAGATAAATTTTGCTTTTTTACTTTAACATACAAATGTTAACGATTTTAGTTTATAGATATTAAAGAATAAATTTTCAATGTTTTATTGAATTTCAGTAAAAATAGACCTTTATACAAAAGTATAACAATGAAACAATAAAAATTATTCAATTACTCAAAAATCTATACTTTTAAAATTGCTTGGTTAATAAATGGATAATTATTTTATAAATAGATAATTATTTTTGAATCCAGACCAAAAGTGCTGTATAAAATTGAACCGGGGTCAAAAATACCCAAATAGTTATTATTATAGTTATTGTGCAAATAACGGATTTATCCGATTTTTTACGACGATCAGATGTCACAAACTATTTAATTAAAATTGATTTTTTTTTACTAATTTCCCCACCACTTTTGATTGGGTTTTACTAATCAATTTTATAGCACTCCGATAGTGAAGTGGTGGAGAAAATTAGTAAACCCCCAAAAAATGGAAAAGCAAAAGGAGAGCGTATTACAAACCGACTAACGAAGAAATCAATATGATAATTACTAGTACTGTACTATTCTGGAAAATCTGGGAAAATTGGCACATTGGTTACATATAATTACGAAATTGAGACAATAATTGATAAGGAACGAATTTACTAATTTTCACACACTTCAGATTGGTTCTACTATATCAGAGTGCGTTGTTAATTTTATGGTACTCTGATACGTGAAGCTTATGTCTAACAAATTCCGGGCTGCAGATCATTTTATCAAAAATCCTTTCTAAAATTTTGAATTTCTAAACTTCTAGCGAAGATTTCTCAATAACTAACTATTTGATCAAATTTAGTAAATTTTTATTTTGATTCTATATGCAGTCAACCCTCCGTAAGTGCACCCCCCTGGGATCATAGGAAATTTTTTCAAAAATGTGTATTTAGAGAGCAATTTATTAAGAGTTCTATATGCTTGGGACTAAATATTAGTGTGCATTTAGAGAGGGTATATGTAGTGCGTGCATTTATGGAGGGTTGACTGTATTTGTAAAATTAAATAAAAAAAAGTTTATTGAATTTGATTTAGTAGTTAACAAGAAATCTTCGCTAAAAAATTTGAAAAAACTTGAACTATTAAAAAAAAGCAAAATTTTTTCTTTATGAAACTTTAAACGATGATTTCCCAACAACCATCTATCCAACTTTAATAAATTTTTATTTATTTTGATCCTGCGAATTTGTAAAATTAAAATAAAAAAAAATTATCGAATTTGATGTTGCGAAATATCGATTAAAAATTAAAAAAAAATTGGCCGCAGCTTATCTTTTACGGATACCTAAACTTTGAACGAAGATTACACGGCACTTACCTAGAAATCTTACAATCTGATTTGTTTTTCAGCTCTAATTCTTTCATTAAAAATCTCCATTGTTCTATTCAACTTTGCTTCTTTAGCATTTATAATTATTAATTGCAATGTCATTGATCTTATAAAACTCTTTCTGCGATTTGTAATAGTTTTTGTATTTGCATTTACTACTCGCCAGCCAGGTAGTATCATCTGTGTAAGCTAGTGCTGCTTACTAATAATTTATTGTTTTGGTTTTGCCACGTCTAAGATCTGTTGGTTACTATTATTTATTTTATTAAAAATTTTAAAGCTTTTAAAAAGTTTTAACTTCTTAAAAAACTTGATATTTTTTACTAATTTGACAGATAAAAATATTTTCAATTGATTTTTATTCTATTAAATTCAATGGCAAATTTGTCTAAGATACTATCACTTAAACATTAAAAAAGAGGAATAAAATTTGTAATATTAGGGGGTTTCAGAGTTAACTTATTTCAAAAATAAGTGGGAGTTTAAAGGATTGTATTTTCTGGTTTAAATTCCAAATAAAAAATTAAATAGACCTAGCCGGTGATAAAATTAGCTTTTTTTGATAAAAATCTACTGGTAAGCGATTGTATAAATAAATATATACTTTAAAAATGTCAATTATTTTATCTAAAATCGGACGTCAGATCATCAACTCCGATTAATAATTTGAACTAGAATTATGAAATATGTAATTCGGCCAATAAATGAATTAAAAGAAAAAAATCAATAAAAACGATACACTTTGCAAAGTTGTTGAATTGTTTAAATGAATGGATGGATGAAATGTTTTATCTATCAGAGACAAGTAATTAAATAATACAAATAATCATTTTTCTTAGTGCGTCAGAAATTTGCTTTCATGCGTTAGAAATAAAAGTTTGTTTTTCTAATTATTGCCAATTAAATATAAGGATTAAGCAATTGGTTGGAAAAAGCATTTTGTAAGTTTGTATTAATTTCAGTTGGAGAGAAAGATGAGCATCAAGGAAACTCTGACTATAAGGAAAATGTGCCTAATTTGTAGCCTTTAGGAGGAGTTTGAGATTATTATTTTCTTCTATTAGTTTTCGATAAGAGGGAATTAAAGAAGGGTCTTGGTTTATTTGCTGTAAAAGTTGTATTTTATAAAGAGATAGTTTACTTTGAAAGTAAGTTTGTAAATTGGCAATAGTAAAATGATTGGATTCGGGAGTTAAAATAGATTGGCATTTAGGACAAGTTAAAGAAAAAGCGAAGGGATCATACTGTGTGACACTTGCTTGTACGCCATTATCAGTTGGAACGTTAGGAAAATTGTTGCTTGGTATAACGTGTTGTGTATCAAATTGATTAGAGCTCGGTTGAATGTAAGAGTTAATGTCAGTAGGAAGAGGAACGACATTCTGTGAATTAATTCCAAGTGGAAGATAGGAACGTGCATCACAGGGGCTCAGAGTATAAGAAATGTTGTCATTAAAATAAGCATTATTATTTGTAACATTCGGAACAGCATTCTGGTTATAAGATTGACCGGATTGTGAGTTACATAAAGCATTAAGAGAATCAGAACCCCGGAGTGAGGAGACATTAGAATTAATGTCAGTTGAAAGAGGAATGATGTTTGGAGCATCAATTTCGGGTGGGAGAGGGGGATGCCCATCACGAGGACTCAGATTATAAGGAATGTTGTTAGTTTGTGTAATATTTGCCTGCGCATTATCAGTTGAAACATCCTGAAAATTAAAACTAGTGAAATTCTGATCGTAGGATTGTCCTCGTTGTGAGTTGCACAAGGCGTTAAAAGAATCCGAACTCTGGTGTGAGGAGATGTCCAAGTTAAAAGAATTAATATCAGTGGGAAGGATGTCTGGACGTGCATCACAGAGGTTCAGATTATAAGGATTAAAATAAGCATTATTATTTGTAAAAATCGGAACAGCATTCTGATCGTAAGATTGTCCGGATTGTGAGTTACATAAAGCATTAAGAGAATCAGAACCCCGGAATGAGGAGACATTATAATTAACGTCAGTGGGAGGAGGAATGACGTTTGGAGTAACAATTCCGGGTGGGAGTCCATCACGGAGACTCGGATTATAAGGGATGTTTTGTGTAACATTTGCCTGCGCATTATCAGTTGGAGCCTGGTTGTAAGATTGTCCTCGTTGTGAGTTGCATAAAGCATTAAAAGAATCCGAACTCCGAGGTGAGGAAACGCCCAAGTCTACCAGAGTTTTTTTTAGAATGGTACTAAAAGTCCAACTAAATCCGAGAGCTTCGTTATGAGCCTTAATGTTCGTTATGTACAACAGCAAAGATCTAGGTTGCAATTTGCCCGCTTTAACTTTGTGAGTAATGTGAGTAATGTACTCTATAAAGTAATTCTCTTGGACTGGAAATTTAGATTTATGAGGGTAGAAGTCTTTCATAAATCTAATATAATTTGGGACTCCGTTTCTTTTTATAGTAATTTGCGGGTTTTTTTGTCCGCGGGCCATTCACGATTTACAATTTAATGATAGTTTTGGTTTGTTTTTTTTTTTATCTTTTTTTTTATTTTTTATTTTTTATATATATATATATATATTTAGTTTTTTTACGCGGAGCCAGCACCGCGTCTTTTTCATTAGTGATATTAAAAGAGAGAATGTTGTATTCGTGGTGGATTTATTCGGGAAACGAGTGAATTGTCGTTAAAAAACCCTTTGAGCAACCCTTTTATCGATTTTTTTTTTGTAAATTTTCGTATAAAAATGTAAATATAAACGAAATGCAACAAATACAGTATTTTGTAGCACAAATTGAAGGTATTTGAGAAATGTATATAAAATTAATATATGATAAGTCGTACCATTCAGATCATTCAACAATCGCTTCACAAGATTTAAAATTCTATGAATTTCTACTAATAACCAAACTTAACTTTTGTTATCGTCATACTGTTATCATTATTTTTATATGGTAACAAAATAAAAATGGAAATCGACCAAATAAGGAGAGTGGATTCTTCAATAAAGACGGGTGAGATCTTTTTTCTTCCCAGATACGTAAAGCTAGACAGTGAGACCGAAGAGAAACTTTTCTTTAGTATTTGAATCATTTCTTTAGTGTATGTTATTCCTAAGGTAATTTTTTGTTGATCCCGTAAAGTTTTACCGAAATCGTCAATGTCTAATACTTCCAAGACGTTGCCCTTGGGATATCTTTAATTTCATGGTTGTCCAATTGCTTTTTTTATCTTGGCTTCCATTTTATTTGTAAAAGTCCGCAGCAATAAAGTCTTCACGTTAGCTACTACCTACGAACAACCAGACCAATAATGATACCGGTTTCAATTATGTATGATAAAATCGGTAATTATATATAATTTTTAATTTGATCTGGTTCCAAACTTTAGTTAGCTAACAAATGAATATAGAATACAGAGTATTTATCGTTAGTTATAGCATTAAATTTATTTAGATGACGAAAAGCTTCAGAAGTATACAATTGGAAATCGATTCCAGTTTCGATACTATGACATAAAGTATAAGATATAATATATAAAAAGTGAAATAAGCAATATTATCGATATAAAAATTTTCAGCTTGAAGTTTGATTAGTTAGTTAATCAATAAATAAAATCTGGGTAGAAAATATAATAAACATTTGGAATAATAACGTTAATAGTCGAGATTCTATTGAAAAACTAATAGCCATTCTATTTTTATATGTGCTTTTATAGAAAAGGTTTGACATTAATGGGTTCAATGTTTAAAGAAACAATCGTATGATTATATTGGAAATTCAAAGTTTGCATTGAAATAATAACAATATCATTAATGATTTGTGGTGAATTAATATTTATTGGAAAAGCTGGAAATTGGACATATAGGATAGGCTCGGTGTTGACTGAAGGAACATCTAGGATAGATTCGGAGTTGGCCTGAAGGAACATTAGGATAGGTTCGGTGTTGACCGAAGGAGTAACGTTTGTAGTAGTGGTCACAAGAGAAGTAAGGTTTTCGACATTATTAATGAGTTCGGATTCAAAATTCTTCTCATGATATTTCGTTGTTTCAGCCAGTTGTTTATACACATTTTTAACGTCTACGGATTCGTTTTTCCACAGTTTGCTTGCAATCTTGGAAACAGTACTGCAAGAATATTTGATATTCTTTGCTTTGAAGAAATTGTGAACAACTGCCCTATATATCATGAACGAATTTATAGGCTTGCTTTTATTCATAATTTTCTGGAAATCCAATAAAGGAAATTTCAATGGCTATTTATATTAACTTCAATCCAAAGAATAATTGAATTAGATAAAGGTCATTGGCGAACATTCTAAACCAGTATAATAAAAATATTTTTTTAACCAAGATTGGTGTAATGTATTGAAACAGTCATGTGCATACTTATTTGAGAAATAGTTAATTGTGTGAAACATACAAATTTATACATAATTATACGATCGACATAGCGATAGTTCGATTTGTCGATGTGAATGCAGTATCAGATTCTTGATTATTTTTCAGTAAAATATTTAATAGTTTATTTTTGAATTAATATGGGGACGTATAAAAGAATTTAGTACACAAGTAATTATATTTGTCTAATAAATATGTGCAAATTCAATAAAAATTAAAATTAATTATTACTATTAGACGATTGAAATTCTAAAAATCTAATCAACATCTTTTTTTAAAGAAAGTTGACAAGAAAGATAATCCCTATAGTATTCAACAATTGTTTAGATTTGGAAGTTTCAATTAATATAAACAATCAAATGTGACTAGCACTTCTCAGAAACTTGAAACTTCGCAACCCTTAAATTAATCAATCAAAAAAATTTAGGATCAGGCTTGACTATTCAACCGACAGATGATTTACTTATTGCACAAAAAAACAAACTCATCGATTCCAAACCTCCATCGTATAGTTTTGAAATAGACGAGTGCGAATAATTACTTTCAGATTTAAATAAATAATAAATTTGCGTTAAGAAATCGTAGAGTGATTTATCAAGATTTGGGCAGATACGATTCACTTGCAGATTTGAATAGTTTGCTAAAATTGATCCAAATAATGCAGAAGCGTTAATAAATCGTGAACTCTTATCACATAATTTGTAGATAATGAAGAATCGTTAGCGGACTTAAAAAAATCTTATTGACGTTAATAGTCCGTGGGACATCTTACAGCGTAATAAGCAGACTTTACAAAATGCTTGGAAATTTATCCAGATAATGCACCTGTTTTGGTGTCGTGAAAAAATATATGGTATGATAGACAAATATGAAGAATCACTTAAAGACTTAAACAAACCGCTAGGAATCAACCCAAATGATGCTACCGCACTGAACGATCGTGGAATAGTTTATGAACAAACGCGAAGAGTCACTTATGGATTTCGCTGTTTGCATTTGTAGATCGCCGCACGCTCATACAATTCAAATTTGATCAAAGTTACATCATATGCAAAACAGCGATAAATAATCTTTAGATTAGGCCAAACGATGCTGTGACGTTAAATAGTCGTGGATTAATTTATCAAGCTATGAAGTATCTCTTATGAATTTATCGCTGATGAATCTTTGATCAAATATTGCAACTAACAATCAGATTGACGAATTCGTTTTATGTTCTCAACATCAGCCATAGGCCTGTATATCTGATATTATAAAAAACTGGTTAATAATAGAGCCGAACGAGCTGATAACATAGCATGTTAAAGTGCGTTAGCAATATGCTAAATTGCGAATAAATTAATTTTTAGAAATAGCGAGATAATTAATTTATAGTAGTAAAGTATGTTAAAATGCGAAATAAATTAAATATATTTTAGTATTTTGCCAAAATGAGAGTAAATTAAGTAGCGTTTTTAGTAGTATGTTAAAGTGTAAAAATGGTATTAAAACTTAAAATAAATACATTCGTCTTTAAGAAAAAATTTTATTATTTTTGATATGGGTCCAAAAGGAAATTATATTGGCGCTTGAATTTAAAGATTATTTCTATAGAAAGTATAACAAGCTTATGTGTAGATTTTGCCAATAATTGGGGGTTTTTTTTATTTCAATATCTGATATAAATTACTCTGATACACTTTTAAAATTTTATTTGAAAAAAATGATTTTTATTTAACGATGAATAAATCAAACAAATCAGTTTTTTGTTTAGTTGAGCGCAGTATTTAAAAATAGTATTATTTTTTTTATTTAACGATGATAAATTATAAACGGATCAGTTGAGCGTAGAATTCGAATAAAAAAAGTTCATCGAATTTGGCTCGAGATATCTTCGCTCAAATTTTGAAAAAAAATTAAACGTCTATCGAAATAGAAGCTACACTAAAATTTTGAACAAAAATATCTCGACAACCAAATTCAATAAATTCAAATAAAAAAAGTTCATCAAATTTGGCTTGGTAGTTGTTGAGATATCTTCGCTTAAAATTTGAAAAAAATTTCATCCCGTCTCAAAATAGAAGATACTCCAAAATTTTTTCTAGCTTTGAACGAAGATATCTCGAACCAAGCCAACTTTGATGAACCTTTTTCTTCGAATTCTACAAATTCTTAGATTCAAATAAAAAAAGTTTATCGAATTGGCTTGGCGGTTGTCGAGATATCTTCGTTCAAAGTTAGAAAAAAATTTTTGTGCAGCTTCTATTTTGAGACGTTTGGAATTTTTTACTTAAGCAAAAACACCTCGACAACTACCGAGTCAAATTTGGTGAACTTTTTTTTATACGAGGTTGGCTTAGTGGTTGTGATATCTTCGCTCAAATTTGTCATTCCGCTATGTCGATCGTCGCTGTGCCAGTAAAAAAGATAAGTCACCTGGTTGCTGTGCCGGTATATTTAAAAAGTGTTATTTGCTATCTTTAAACATTGAATACAAGTCACTATATCAAAGCATTAATAAGCAAGTATACAATCAATCAAATAATCATACGATTTAATTTTATCACATTTTATAAAACGGGTCCATAAGCGATATTTTCCGAAAAACAACAATTAGTCAATAAAAAATAAGATTATCCGGCACCTTACTATGATTGTACCAACAGAATAACTCGAGTTATTTTGATGATGATACAATCATCATTAAAGAACTCGAGTCATTCTGTTGGTTCGGTCGTCATAAGATACCGGATAATACCGTAATACCGTTATTGAATGCTACTCGGCCAATAACTTATCTGGCAGCGAATTTTAATATGTATCATTTCTGGCCCTTCGGGGCCCATATGCTGACATATTAAATTTCACAGCCAGATAATTTACAAATAATTTCCGAGTAGCATTCAATAAATTATATATATTACGTAATTTAATTTTTATAATTAATAACGTTAAACCCCGGTAATTATGCAATATCACATAAATATGATGTGTTAAATCACATTTTTCGGGGTTGAAATTAATTTCGGAAAACTCAACAATTACAGGTTTTCGCTTTGCAGCACTCAAATGATAAATGATTGGTTATCATTTAATTTTAAAATTCCATACTAGTGATGCCGAGAATACTCATGATATAAATATATATAAATTGATAAAATTCTATAGATAAAAACCATTAACTAAAAATATGCATTTAACATTATAGGGAGATTTCAAAATTAGAATCATTCATTTTTTCGATTTATAGTTAGACATCTCATTATTTTTCCGATTCAGAGTTAAGGTTCAGGTTTCTGATTTTGAATTAAATTAGTAACGTATTCCATAAAATACCTATTGATATTTACTGCGCCGATACCCATTGTTTAAAGTATCGCTTTTGATACACCAATCGAACTTAGTATATCGCGAATCAAAAATGATACTTTTGGAGTGGCCGGTAAATTAATAGGTATTTTATGCCCTGATTCCGAATCTGTGATCTATGCATCATATTTATTTTTATTTGTAAGCTTATCTATATAATGAATTTGTAAATTTTCTTTTAAAAAAGAGAAGCGATTGTTTATTTTAACTCCTATTACATTTTCTGACTTCGAAATTTCAAACCAAAAATAAGTTACCTCTGAAGCCCCCTAATAAAAATACTATTTGAAAAACCCTACTTATTTTATAAAATGCGCACCTTTTTGTTAATTTTGAAACCCGTTGTGTAATTTTTTTAAGGCTATTTATTATCGTTTACAATCCCTAAGACCTCTTCAATATTATTCGATGCTTCAAAGATGACCTTTGCTTCACACGTTATTTAAACACAGAATATCAGAATTCGAAGTAAAAACGAAAATGGGAATTAATTTATAATATATGATTCATCATCGTCTTGTGTTAAATGTATTAGCTTTCGAAGATAAATCAACTGGAATTGTTGCCATATCATATTTCTGCTTGAAATAAGAAATATATTTTATTTGGTTAGACACTAGTTTAATAGTTTCCGAAGGTTTGTACAAGTAAAAAATTAATTTTTCTAATAAATACAATAATTTATAAATTAATTAACATTATAAGCAATTTAATTTTGATTTAATATTGTATAATATATACAGTAATCAAAGTTTGGCAACTCTTTGGGCGAAATGGTCTTTTTTTTTTCACAAAAAAAAAGCCATCCTGAGAAAAGGGCTCAAGAAAATCGACTTAATTGCTGTCATTGTGTATAAAACTACTGTTAAAGTTGTTATTTTTGAAGAAACAATTCTACTATGTACAAAAGTGTGTGGGTGTGTTTTACATGATCAGTGTAAAAATAATTGTAATCAAAAAATGTATATTTAAATTTGTAATATTTAAGTTTAATAAATTTTCACTGATTTCACGATTGCAAAGTAATATACATTATTTTTTTTTGTAAAAGAGGTCTTTTCCTCATTCCTTTATTTCATATAAAATATGATTTACAATTTCTTGTGAAAGATACATTAACTTTCTATGGAAGGGGGAATAAAGCTATAGCTATTGCTAATTTACTTCAGATCTAAATTTTAGCTAGATAGGTCTCAACCTCTAGTCTATATTATATATTTGTTCTAGAGTATGATTATATTCGATGTAGTTATTTAACTATTTGTTATAGTTTAATTGTTTACCAAACTCATATATTTGGCTACTTGATCTAGATGTTAAGTTTGTCTGACTTGGGTTTGTTTGAACTAGGGATGTTATCGTGCTTGTCCGAACTCAGTTCGAGCCTGTTTGAAACCCAAACCTGTTAAACTCGAGTTTTGTAATCATGTGATTTTAATTAGGAAACTTTAAACTCAATACTGTTCATAAT